ATCGTAAACTTGTGATCCAGCCAAGTGTATAAGTAAAGCACGTTTCCGTTTCTTTGCCGATATATCCATAGCGACCATAAGATTGTTAAAACGTTGCAACCATTTTTTCCAGCGAGTGGCAATAGAAGAACTCGAAGTGTCGTTCCCATAAACTATAAATGGTTCGAAATCGGGTATGGCTTTTGCCATATTTTATTATTATTTTTGTCCTCGTCGCCAAATGTAATATAGTACTCCTTCGATGCATAAAACACATGTCTAGCTCCTATCTTTACAAGTGCGCATGCTCCTAAAGCATGATGTAACTATTACGTTATTACACCAATGTATTCCTTTTTTCCACTAAAAACCATTCGCGGATATCTTATATTAATAACAAATTAAATTTTAAAATACATGCGTTTGTTTTTACGTAATGGACCGCCGGACCATTACGGGAAAATAATGGACCGCTGAAAGTGCTTCTCAGCCAATCACATTCCGCCATTTCACCGGAAGTGATGCTTGCCATATGATAATTACTTGATCATCGCTGTGTCGTGTTAAACGCCTCACGGATCCGTATACTTGAAAAACAAGGAATCTGGATACTTTTACAAATCCGGAAACTTTTGCTCTATTGTAAACATGGTCTAAGTCACATAGACCTTTTTCATAGAGATGATAAGAAAAATGCGGTTTCTTATAGGTCTGTTTCAAACGTCGCCCTTCTCATGTGCCCAACGCATTAGAAACAATAGATAATGCGGCATTTCAGCTGATTATCTATTGTTTTTAATGCGTTCGGCACACGAGAAGCGCACATCTCTCGCATAAACGAAGTTTCAAGTAACGAAAATGTTTGCGAGCAGATTTCTCCCAATCTTCCGTTCCCTTCAAGTGCGCTTACTTTGCTCTCTGTGGAAACTTCATGTAAGTGACAACATGCATCATATAGTGCTGACATGAAACAGATTTTCAGTTCACTTTCAGTTTTCAGATAAACGCAGTCATGATTGATGTGAATTAATACGAAATATATCATCCCATAATATTTTCTTTGTGTTCTCACGCAATGCTACCATGATTCCAGGGCTGTTTACATGATCCCGCGCTTTGACGCGACGGGATGGAAGGCGGAATGATTTTGATGTATTGAAATAAATCACTATAGACGAAAGTCCAAACAGCGGGTAAAAAAACTCAAATGTTGTCGAGAAGATCTCGTAGTTCAAGAAGATAATTATTGCTGCTTGAACAGCCTTTCGTTAACAATTACACTTTAATCTATCACTAGAAAAATAATGTGCCTATTGCTGAATCGTGCACTGATTTATTTCAACACATCAAAATCATCCCGCACCTAAACACGTCTTTAATTTTTAAGGTGGAGATTTTACAAAGGGCGATGGAACTGGAGGTACAGTACCTTGTACGACTGACTCAGATATATGGTGTGTGTAATATTTGGGTCATTCTAGGATCGAAGAAAATGTAATACATAAAAAATCTTATCTCGGTTGACTGTCGGACGTTCCGGATATGATGTCATATAACATCAATAGCAATTCTTTTTCCTTTCGTTTTTGCTTGTCTTCCCTTAATTTATGCCGGTATATATAATCACATATGCGAAGTGTATTTATAAATACTTGCAATTTACCAACTGTAGCAATGTTTTGGCATAACTTATACTGTATACCCATCCATAATATTAAGAGATGGCGAAGACCAGCATTGCTATTGGGGGTCTGCCGAAAATTTGCCCGACCTTCGTGGAATTGCGCAACCCAAAAAAAGTTTTCCCCTTGTATATTTTCCGAAATGCTTGTCGTGGAGGGAGAGGGTGGTAGAGAGGGCAAAAACAAACATTTTCAAAAATACATTAACACATTTTGAAGCGTTGCATATATTTCTTCCTATTTAGTCCACCAACTTAATGCGCGCCGCCCGACCAGAAAAATATTGGGGGGGGGGGGTCGCGTACGCCTATGTTGGTCATTATTGGGTGTGTTGGTAACAAAGACAATCCTACAAAGATAATGAGTTAGCATGCATAGGCACCCAGCCAAACTCTTTTCAAGATAGCATTGGCGTCCATGTAGATGAAACTTTCATTATCTGAAAGATTTTGAAATATTGCGTAGAATAAATCTAAATCGTATTCTCACCAGCACCATTTCTCATTTTCAGGTAAAAGTATTTTTGGCAAATATTTTGCGGATGAAAATTTTATTATTAAACATTATGGAAGCGGTTGGTTATGTATGGCAAATGCTGGTAAAGATACTAACAATTCACAGTTTTATATCACATTGGCAAGGACAGCTTGGCTGGATGGTCATCACACTTGTTTTGGAAAAGTTCTTAAAGGAATGGTATGCTATTGCTAGGTTTCGTATTTAAGCTCTGTATGAAACTGTTAAAATTTCAAAATTTTCATCTACAAATCCCTTCAACAATTAGTTATATCGAGTGAGATGGGGGGGAGGGGGGGGGCATGCATTAGAGGGTGCTAGGAGGGGGTTAGAGGGGGGAGGGTGGTAGATCAAGTTTCACGTGAAGAAAAACAGCCGTTTCACTTTTACATGTAGAAAACTAATAATTAGCGAAACTTCTACCAGACTATATATATGGTTGAATTAACCAGATTATATTAGGTGGATTATTAACCAAGAATTCTGGTTAATTAATTAGTTGCGAGTAACGTACCAGGACTGTGGTTAACCAGGATATTTAAACGGGAACACTAAGTTACCCCAAACAGTGTTAATTTTGGATTAACCAGGAAATTTTTAACAAAGGTGTTCTGAGAGTGTATATTACTTAACAAAAATGACTAAAAATTTCACGTGGCATTCCTACGATCCTCTCTTCAAATCACTCGAAAAACTAAGTTCTTGCAATATTTTGATGGTATCTTTGATGATTTAAATGACTGGTCGATCTTCTCTATTTCAGAAAATTGTGAGAAAGATAGAAGCAGTACCAACGGACAATCAAAGCCGACCAAAATCTCCTGTGAAAATAGTCAATTCTGGAATTCTTGCACTCGACAGGCCATTCGAAGTTGCAATGACCAGTGTTTAGAAAGATAAGTTAAACATTATACGTAAGAACATTACCATTTCGTATACCGTTACACTGGAAAAAATAGTCAAATTCATAATATGCCGAATTTGCAATTTCATCACCAAATCCATAGTATATTCACAATATATCCAAATAGCATGAAAATTGGATTTCCATACTATTTCCATATAGTAAGGATTTTGAAAAATAGTATATGACTTGTAAAATAGACAGTAGAATAATAAGTTAATAGGAATCGGCTGGAAGTTGCTAGACAGTTTTAAAAATTATTTACTGGCGCGTGCTTTTACATTATCTATTATGATTTATATCATAACAGATTGTCCAAAACGACATTTTAAGCTGGCTCGATAGACTTTTCAAAATTTCAGGTGTATAACAATTTGACATTTTTAAACATAATATTTTTAGGCTCTATCACAGAATAGGAAGGTATAGCAGAAGTGTAACTTGAGTCGGTTCCTTTATTGTTTTACGTCCACGAAAATTTTAACTCGCCCACGCCATCCTGGCTAGTACAACCGGAAGTTTTTATCAGGTTTTGGTAGGTACAAAGTGCCGGTTGTACTAGTCAGGATGACGTGATTGATAACGAATTGCTTGTAAAAACGCGGACAAATACTTGCTTGAGTTACACTTCTGTTATACCTTCCTGTTCTGTGGCTCTATGCAGCATGGATATCAGAATTTCTTATTTAGTTCAAATTATTTCAATTTTGGTGCATTCTTTAACTATAACAATAAGCAAAATATTAAAAAATTCTGTAATGCAATTTTTTAAAAAACGCAAAAATATCGTATAGTCGACAAAAATGTTTTTGGCATTACAGAATTTTATTTTATCTTTGGCATAATGAAAGATTTTGCGCTACAATTGCGCTGTCCCTGAAAATGTAAATCACACTATAGAATAGATTAAAACAAATACTGTATATGGAAACTACACTGAACAAAAACGAGTATACAGGGTGTATGAAAAAAGATAGAATCCACGTTTATCCATTTACTTTTTTCATACCAATAAGATCAGGCCTTTACTCTTTAGCTATCGAATACTACAGTAGGTATACCTTTCTTGTACAATTGCAATCTGAACTATGGCCAAATACGATACGATCGCGCGATTAAAAAATGCACCGTTGGAAATTGCATGTTTGTCTGAGTATTGAAATTCAAATTGTACTCGCAATACTCGCAATTTTACAATGTAAAATTGTACTCGCAATATATTGTACCCGCAATACTCGCAATTTTACATTCTATACTCGCAATTTTACATCGAAATTGAGTGACTAAACACTTTACAACACTGGAACCTTGCAGACTGGACTCACAATGGCATATCTTTCACAAATGGGCAACAAACATTTTGGAAAATGTTCGGAAGAATGGAAGAATGCGCCGAATTCAAACGATCGCTTTAAATCAGATCGCATTTGTCTTTTTAAATCACAATCATTCCATAAAGGTGTCATTTGAAAAGCTAAAAGCCTTTTCTTTATAAATGCGAAACACTGTGATTAGTACTGATTACCCGCAGTATTAAAATGTCCAGCAACAGGCTGGAAAGCATCATTGCCAATGTCAGTACCTCGATGCTCACCAAACCTTCCAGAAATCTTCCAAAAATATTTTTCAACATAAAACATCTACTGCATGAGATGCAGTATATCGGAGATGGGAGGAGGAGGTCAGGTGTACGTGAAATGGTGCTTGATATGGTATTTAGATTTGGTGGTAGCGGAATCTATAAACTCGCAGGGTTTGTATTGGGGCACTCGACAACTGGAAACGTACCATTCTGTGACGACGAATCCTGTGGTATAGGGAGCTACAACCTGGGGTTTCACGGATATTTTTGCTGTGTCGAAAAGGGACTAAGGAGGTAGCGGAAAAATGGAAGATGTTTAAGGAGTCGTTTTTCAAGATATGGAAATTCCTCCTAATCCTCCAAAAACATCGCAAAGGATTTATGCTATTCCTCCATTGCCATTCGTAACAAAATTACAGTAAACATTACTGGCCCACCGTACCCTTAGGCTCGCAAAAGTCGAATACGAGCGCGAAAGGCTGCTGGGAATCGTTATGAAAATTCATTAATTTGTTAGCGATTCCCAGCAGCCTTTCGCGCTCGTATTCGACTTTTCCGCTTTGCTCGTAGACAACCTTAATTGAAATAGCTGTGTAACATATGCTAGTGATTATATGGTTTAATAGGGATTAAGTAATAAGAGACGTTTTATATAGATATCTGATGACAGGTAGAGACTGAGAAAAATGTGATTGTATACAAGACGAATATAACAACAAGAGCTCTTTTGAAATAGTATTGTTTCCTTGTTTGTGTATATTACATTTGGTGCCGTGACCAGGATGGCAACTTCGAGTCGTACGAGCGTAGCGCTTCCCGAGACCTTTTCAGATGGGGATATTGTTTTATGGCTGCGAAAATTCGAGCTTTGTTCGACCGCAAACGACTGGAAAGATACCGACATGTTAAAAAGGTTACCGACACTTTTGTCTGGTAAGGCCTTCGCAGTTTTTGAGCGTCTCGCAGCAGAGGCCAAAGAAGATTATAAAACCCTTACGAAAGCTTTAACGGCGGCGTTTGGCGGAGATACAACGGGCAAACATCTTGCAATGATGGCGTTTCGCAGTCGAACGAGAAAGCCAGACGAAGACATACAAGTGTTCGCCTACAATTTAGAGGCACTATTAAGGCGCGCAATGCCAAAAATCGAAAACGGAGACAGAGATGTCCTACTCCAGCAACAATTTATCGAAGGAGTACCCACAGAACTAAAAAGGGAACTATTACAACGACCAAGCATGTCCTATGAAGAAATGGTTGCGGTTGCCCAGCAACTAGATTTAGTGAGTCAAATTTCATCACACCAAACCGGGAGTCAAGTCAACCTGGCAAGTGCGAGCGACAATTTGCAGACAACAACGAGGGATCAGCCCTTGGTTGCGCAGTTGATGGAAAATGTAGAAACACTTACCAGGAAGGTTAGTGAATTATCTGTATCTGTCGCCAATGTCAACGCCACGTCAGCGCGAAATTCTACTCGGGGAAGACGGGGGCCTTGCTATCAATGTGGCAAGGTGGGCCACATCGCCAACGAGTGTAGAAGCACCGGTAACGGAAGTCGACAACCAAATTACCGACAACGCAGCGCCGAAAATTACTGCTTCGTGTGCGGGCAAATCGGACATTTTGCGCGAGAATGCCGATTTAGATACCAGTCCCCTGTCGCTGGTCAACCGCGTCAGGGAAACGACCAAGGACCGACCCATTACTAGGCCGGGGGTCCGTCCAAGAAAATACGGCCTTGCCCATAAACTGTATCCAGCCTACTGCGGTTTTCATCAAGACACGAGTGGGTGCCCATGAGCAAAAATGTTTGGTGGATACAGGTGCAACGGTATCGTTAATAAGTCGAGAACTTATAAGTGGGCCTTTAAAGCCATGTTCGTTGAAGGCAAGAGGGATCGGTGGAGAGGAACTACAAGTCCTAGGAATGAAAGAATTGGAACTCAGTATCGGCACATTGACTATATCCCACCAGTTTATGGTCGTAGGAATGAGGAACACCTGTATTTTAGGTGCTGACTTTTTGAAGTCAGGGCGAATGGTCGTGGATATAGCAAATTCGAAATTAACTTGGCCATCGGGAGAAGTGGCGTTGGTAATCGAGACAACTGCACCAACTGTCAATAAATTAAGCGTACTGTTAGATAATTATTCAGATATTTTTGTAAGCGGACCAAATGACCCTTTAGGCCGAACCACGGTAGCAGAACACTCGATTGACACAGGAGACAGCCGTCCTGTGAAGCAACGGCCTTATAGAATTCCTGTTCATCTCAACACTGTAGTGAACAAGCAAGTGAACGACATGATCGAAAGAGGTGTAATCCGATCTAGTAACAGTCCCTGGTCCTCACCAATCGTATTAGCTCCGAAGAAAGACGGGGATTATAGATTTTGCGTTGACTTTAGGCGAGTGAACTCGGTGACAAAGAAGGACGCTCATCCTATGCCTCGTATAGACGAAATTCTGGACCAGTTAGGCGGTGCGCGTTACTTTAGTACCTTGGACCTTACTTCCGGGTACTGGCAAGTACCTCTAAGGGAAGAGGATATGGAGAAAACGGCTTTCTCCGTTGGTGCGAACCACTATGAATTTACAGTTATGCCCTTTGGTTTAACTAACGCTCCCGCCACATTTCAGCGCATGATGGGGAATATATTGATGGGTATTAAAGGCTGCCTAGTATTCATGGATGACATTATTATTTTCTCGGATACGTGGGAGGAACATCAACGTATTTTGGACGAAGTATTTCGTCGTATTCGGGCAGCAGGGTTGAAGATCAAGCGAGACAAGTGCCAATTTGCACAAGAATCGGTGAAATTCCTTGGCCACGTTGTATCTGCACGGGGAACAGAACCAGATTCGTCCAAAGTTGAGGCCGTGCGAGAATTTGCGACCCCGACCTCTCTCACCGATGTTCGAGCGTTCGTTGGGATGGCCTCATACTATAGACGGTTTATTAAGAACTTTGCGGACATCGCTGCACCGCTCCACGACCTAACCAAGGGTGGCCAACCAGAATTTTGTTGGACACCTGCGGCCGACAAAGCATTTAATGACCTCAAAAGTCGTCTGTGTTCAGCACCTATCTTGTCCCTACCAGACTTCTCCGTTCCTTTCACCATTTATACGGATGCCAGTGATTTCGGCCTCGGCGCTGTCTTGTCCCAGCGAAGAGGTGAAAACGAGTACGTGATCGCGTATGCCAGCCGGACCCTTACGTCTGCGGAGAAAAATTACTCAACCACGGAGAAAGAGTGTCTAGCCATTGTTTGGACAGTCAATTATTGGCGGCCATATTTACTCGGAAACACCTTTGACATAGTGACAGACCATCAAAGTTTAACGTGGTTGCAAGGATTGAAAGAACCGAAGGGTCGTCTCGCCAGGTGGATCCTTGCCTTACAGGAGTACGATTTCGAAATCAAGCATCGCCCGGGTCGACAACACAGCAATGCAGATACCTTATCGCGTTTCCCTCGAGTGACACCCCCGCAGATACCAGACCAAAGCGTGGATGAGGACTTGATGGTCGGTGTAAACGGTACCGAGGTGTGCACGTCGTGGTCCAAGACAGAAATCTTAAAGGCACAACAGGACGACCCAAGCATTTCCATGATAATGCAGAAGTTAAGCTGCAGCGATGATCTACCAGAGGAAGGAAATGATAATGATAATTCTAAGGAGAATGGTGAAAGGCGACGCTACAGACAGTTGTGGTCACAACTAGAAATGGTAGATGGCGTTCTACACCGTTGTGTAGATAAAGGTACTCCATCGAAGCGACTAGTTTTGGTTGTCCCTCGAAAGATGCGTTGCGACCTTTTAAAACTTTCTCATGATGACCCATGTTCGGGACACATGGGAATAAACCGCTGCTTAGAACGTCTGCAACGACGATATTATTGGCCGGGAATGGCAGCAGAAGTGCAACTATGGATAGCCGAGTGCGAAAAGTGCAACAGACGGAAAACACCCGTCCCATCTCAAAAGGCACCCATGCAGAGCATAGAAATTGGACAACCGATGGAACTGTGGGCTATGGACGTATTAGGTCCACTTCCTATGACTGCACGGGGGAACCAGTACATCTTCGTTATGTCCGATCACTTTACCAAGTGGGTAGAGGCGGTGCCAATGCCCAATCAACGTGCCGAGACGGTAGCTAAAGCCTTCGTTAATGAAGTAGTGACTCGACATGGAGTCCCAAGTAAACTTCTAACCGATCAAGGAAGGAACTTCGAGGCCGATCTCATGAAGCAAGTGTTCAGTCTCCTCGGTGTGCGAAAACTAAGAACTTCGCCGTACCATCCCCAAACGGACGGACAAGTTGAGAGAATGAATCGCACGTTAAAGGGAATTCTGACAGCTTATGTAAATAAGGACCATAATGATTGGGACGATCACTTACCACTGGCCTTGTTTGCATACCGTAACAGTGTGCATTCCTCGTCTGGGGTTTCACCTTTCCAGGCAATTTATGGTCGCGAAGCCACTACACCGCTGGTACTTATGAACACCGAAACTGAAGTTAAGGAACAGTTTATTTCAAATTACTGTGATGAACTGGAGAAGACATTAAAGGACGTACATCGCAGCATCAAAACGAACATTGACGTGGCGCAAAGTAAGCAGAAGAAAGGGTACGACGAACATAATGACGTTGACCGAAGTACAGCGCTAAAGGAAGGGGATCGGGTGTGGCTCAATAACAAAGCGGTACCAAAGGGCTTGAGCCGAAAATTCCATTCACCGTGGACGGGGCCTTACGTAGTGATCAAGAGACTGGGCAAGGTAAACTACCATATCAAGCCGGGGCCTGGGAACGGTAAGACAAGAGTGGTACATCGCAATCGACTTAAGCTAGACATACGCCAGCCTAGAATCGAAGAAACCCTGTCTGTTGATCAACCAGAAAAGCACAACTCGAGAGTCGAATTGCTCCCAGGCGAGCCAGTGATACATCACGGAGAGAGGCTGGCGGACGCACAGCTGTTACCAGCAGAGGAGCTGATCCAATTGCGTAGGTCTAACCGTAATCGCCGACAACCTGATAGATATCAGGATTATAACTTAGATGAACTAGAGATCGAGGACGCTCTCAATTAAAGAGGGGGATATTGTAACATATGCTAGTGATTATATGGTTTAATAGGGATTAAGTAATAAGAGACGTTTTATATAGATATCTGATGACAGGTAGAGACTGGGGGAAATGTGATTGTATACAAGACGAATATAACAACAAGAGCTCTTTTGAAATAGTATTGTTTCCTTGTTTGTGTATATTACATATGCAAAGTTGGCACATATTACACAAAACCTGAATATATTTAAACACATACCTGACATACCGTTTGCTTTGAAGGAACGTCTGGAGTTACTGTAATACCATTTTCTAAAGTACAGTATAGATAACAAAAAGTTTTAGTTTCTGCAACCAAATTTTGAAATATACAGATAACAGATTGCCAAATTACACAAAAAAACCCCAGCAAAAGGCTGTTTTCTTAACAAAAAGATTGCATTTCATCGTCAAGCTTAAGTTAAGCCTACCAATTTTATGTGAGATAAGATAAAGCATAAATAAAATTGAATGAAATACCTGTTTATAGCTCGCTGATTCAAATATCCTCTTTGGCTTTGCTCACATTTTGCGAGGACAGCGAGGTTTGAATTTTGTTGTCTTCCTCGGGAAGAATAACTCGTACGACTTGCACATCTTTGAACCAATAACCAAGTTTAGAAAAAATATCTCGAAAACATTTTAAAAATCGATTCAAATATCGAGAAAATACTACAAAACCCGAGCAAAATTGCAAAAATCTAAAGTTTTTTAAAGAAAACCAGGGGGTGTGGAAATTGTAGCGGGCTCAGATCCGAGCCTGGTCAGTGGTAATTACCATGAGAAATACGGACCAGTTGTCATGGAGATGGCGTCAGCAAAGGCCGAAATCCGCCATGTTTTTGGCTTCACTTTTTTTTCCCGTGCAGGTCCTCCAGTAATATAGTATAGCTCAGTGGAGGACGTGCTCGGCACACTGAGCTATACTATATTACTGGAGGACCTGCTCGGGATAAAAAAGTGTCGCCAAAAACATGGCGGATCTTACGCCATTTCCATGACAACACTTACTTTATTTTCATGGTAACTGCCACTGACCGACCGCGATCCAAAGCTTTCGACGATGTCCTTAACCCCCCTGGTTTTGGGCAAATATTACGATATAGATATAAAGTTTTCTGTTGTTTTTGGGCTAAAAAATCTTAATATTTCCCTCGAACATTACTTGTTTTACCAACGCGGAGCGAGGGTGCGGGTTTGCTTCGCTTGTGGATGCAGCATTTCACTACAAAGAAAGACTAATTCTTTCAGGTAAGATTCACGAAACTTTTTTATAACTTTCTAGAGTCACTAGACCCTTCGATTATGTTATGTCAAAAACTCGTCATCCTAACATATACAGCAAATATTTCAATAGGGGCCATAAAAGTATTGTTAACGACCAAACATTGTGTACATGAAATTATGTTGTTTTGTGTCAGCACTGGCCTTTGTGGTTTTATTGCCAGTTTTTAATTTATACTAAAAATTGTGGTTGTTTACATGTTCATATATTTTAAAACGTTTATTAAATATGGTGTGAAATTTATATACCTGCCCATCACAATGTAGAATTAGTATATATAGATAAGCACAAGACCAGAGAGAGTGGAGCCGTAGAGGAGGCTCACCTACATGTGACAATCCATGGGCCCTGTCCTGATGGGCCCTACAGACTGTCTTTATTATTTTATTATGTCTAATGCCAGACGATCTTAAGGGGATTGAGACTAAATGAGACTGCTCCCTGCTGTCACACAGTGGGTTAATTACACTATCGGCAAATAAACAGCCCCTGAGATATATCGTCAGCCCAATATTAAACTGCAATGAACCCTGGCTACCTTCTTATTTTACTCAATCTGTGAGATTAAATCCAGATGTTTTACTCATCAAGGGAAGAGTCTTAAAAATAGATATCATTTTGCACCATTGTCTGTTTAGAACTATGTAAAACTACTATATAGTTTTACACAGCTTGTTGGCAACAAAAATGTTGCACACAAGCTGCCGGGATTTAAGTGAGTCACTGATACACTAATCATGAAGTAAATTTGGAATGCTACAACATTTCTAACAAGGGCGGATTTTCATTTATTTAAAAAGACTGGTAGAAAAATTTCTGGTGGGTGCAAGCAGCACCACTCAGTGAGCTTTCGCAGTGGTTAGGTGTTTGGGTTAAAGGCTTTCACACAAAATGGGAGGGTTGAAGCAGAATTTTGGTGGGGTTGAACACTTTATTAGAGGGGTTTAACCCCCCCCCCAAGTAAATCCACCCATGATTTCTAACATTGGGAGTAGTGATGTCCAATTGGCCATGACACGTCTGTGAGAAATTATGAACATGATATATTTTAGTTAGGAATGTAATTGCATTGCTGAATATTGAAACATGACATTTAATTTTGAAGCTCGGATCAATGGTCTTGGTAAAACAGATCATGTAATTGCACCCTTGACTAGTAAAATTGTCTGGCATTAGGCAGATTAAAATAATACAGTAAGGCATATCAAGACACATTGCCACGTGGCACTTGTGAAGGGTTAACATATTATGTGTATATGATATTTTTGTGATGTATTAAAGATGTATAATGTATCATGATAATAATGTCATCTTTTATTTTGCAGAAATTATATGTTTAATATACACAAGAGATGGCACTGAGGCATCAACATGCAGAAAAACATGCAGAACAACAAAATGAATTAGTTAATTATAATACCATGCATAACAACATAAATAATTATATGATTATGATAACTTTATTGAAGTGTAAATAAGTTTTATAGCAATTAAAATTATACATTTTTGTTTTTTTAAATTTTTTACTGCCAATAATTTTTCAAAAAAGTCAAATACACCCTTCCGGCTTCCGGAATGTATTTCACCTTGTCACAGGAGCCTCATTTTCATGTATGTGGCATGAGTTAAAGTCCAATGTCTCAATCGTGAAAATGAGACTCTATATATAGCCAAGGTGACATAATTTCTGGAAGCATGTATTAAAATACAGTATGTTCAGTTTCCAAAGATATGTGTGTCTTGGTACTGTAACTTGCCATCCAGAAAGGAATGTGTCATTGTGGGATAAATCTGCAATAAACAAGAGTAGACTAATTATGTAGGTTGTACAAAATCCACCAGTAACATAATTAGCATATGATCAAGGTAAACAAAAGAATGTGACCTAACTCCTTAGCTTAAACCAGGGGTATCAGAACTATAAGTGCACTTATGCACCTATCAATGTTAAC